AACTTCGAGTGAGCACGTAATAGGCTTTGCGATATGGCATCAATCTATAAAGAATATAAAACAAAAGAGAAAGGAGGAGAGATTTAAAAATGAGTATTGCCATGAGAAAACCTAATCAGTGCAAGGCGCTATATTGACTGGTAAAGGTTGTAATCACATAAGAAGTTATTACTACGAATGAAATAGACCCCAGAGCAATTTTTAGTATGAAAACGGGGAAAACGGACATAAAAAGCAATTTTTTAGCTTTTTTTTCAAACCAATTTTGACCAAGATTAACGAGGGTGTTGTGTCTCAGTAATCGTTACTAAGATTCTGCACTGATAATTACAGTATCTGCCCTACGGCCCACCTTTTTTATCCAATTGCTTTCATGCTTGTCCTTTTGCGATTGATGTTTCTCACACGCAGTTGCCAAGGAAAGCACCGGGCCAAATAGGAAAAGCTGATAGACATAGGTGAGACCCATCGCTATAGCTGTTCCAAAGCAAAATAAGCGAATTTCTAAAATTTGATTGAAAAGTGAAAATTTAGATTGATTTAACTTTGCGCACCTGGTGTCGGTGTGATAGCTCCAATGGCAAAGGAGAGAACATTAGTGACTGAGGTGATGGTGATACTGGGTATAGCCTCTTCATAGACTAGACCTAAAAATGTTAGCGCTTGCTATTCTTGCCATTTGTCATTTCCTTCGTTTTTAAAGCCCTATCGAAATCTTAATTGATAAAAGAATTTAATTGGACATAGACTATAAGGGATCGAATATGAAATTCCAAAAGAAAAAATGGCGATGACGTAATGCTTATTTACAAAATCTCTTTCAAAATAGATTTATAGCATATTTTACCAAAGTTTACGTAAAGCGGAACAGAGCTGATCGCGATTTATTGGCTTTACTAACCTAGCCTCTCTGAGTTTGAGTATTTCCCATTCGTAAGTTTCTGCCATGAACTAATCATCAAAAAAGCAGCATCAATACCTTCAAACCGTAAAGTTTGTAGCTTCTAGCGAAACGATAGAACTTACTTACCTACGCCGAAAATTAGAAACGGCATTACAAAAAGAAAAGAGTTGATTCGAGATCCTAGCAATGATATGAAGCCAAAGGTAGAGGTAATGGCCAAAAGTGGGCATAACGCAGCTCCGA